ATCAGCTATCCACATAACTTTTTAAAGCTCTTAATTTATATTATAATTAATTTTCTTGACACATCAACTACAATGAAGCAGCAATAAATATACAGCTCCTTGAAGAACATGAGTGATAAAGTCTAAGCCACGAACTACATCTTTTCATTTACAGTTACATTTAGGAAGCAATTCAGGTGTTTAGAACAAATTAAAATTTAAATCCATCCTAGGTTGACATGGTATTAGAAATCAGAACAAAGATCAGATCTATTGGTTTAGTGCATAAGCAACATGCATTAGTGCTCTCTGGGTCAATGGGAGCCCTATCCACCTGGTAAACTTAAAAAAAAAAAAGACTTTAATATCTTTAGTATTAAGTAAAACGATAGCATACTCTAGATCAAACTCCAGCATCATAACTAAACATATGATATATGTATCAAGAGAATCCTCTTCCAAAGTCAAAAGTTGACTCAGTGAAGATTTATCACTATCTTTCACATTAAACACAATTGGCGATAGTATTAATATGAGAGGGCGTGGCTAATCTGGACATGCACAGCTAACCTTCCCTGTAATTCCACGAAGACCTTTCATTGATGTGCAGCCATTACTATAGGTCAGTGATGGAGAATCTTTCAGAGCTTTGAGTGACACAAACAGTTCAGTGTGGCACAAGTGCCCTGAGTTTGCCATACTGCAGCAGCAGCCAGTGGTTACATGGGCTCACTCTTGAGCCAGACTCTGGGTTTTGAATCAGCAAGGTACTTAACCTCTCCATGTCCCTGTTTAGTCACTAGGTTGTTAGGAGATTCAGTAAATTAAATCATATAAAACTCTCAGGAAAGTGCCTGACACAGAGGTAAAGCAAATATATACTTCACTGGCTGTTATAAATATTTGCGGAATCTTCAATGCTGGTTGGCATCATTTAAATACCTTCAAGAAGATGTCATCTTATACACCAGTGATATTAGCACTTACTGAGTTCAAACTCTATTCTAATCACTACACAAATAACAGTATCACTAAGCGAAGTTCTGCTATGATCACAGCATGAGACCCTACAAACTTTTCAGAGTTGGGTTTTCCTGATTTCCTTCCTCAGAAGAAATGCTGTTTCTACTCTGGTGATTTATATACACACTGCCCACTACTTCAAATCAATTGCTCTGGGGTAGGAGACATTAACCAGCTAACCTCCTGAAGGCTTACAAGTGTCAAAAGCACTTGGCAGACAGGGGTACTTCACAATACCTCACAACCTCAGAAATTGGACACCAGCCTGTGTCTAGGTTTCAGGACTGCGTTAATATTTTCAAGGGTTGTTGGATGATGTCATGTCCTCTTAATCCCCAAAACATTCTACTTTTACAAAGAACAAATCCACATTATTGAGAACTCACATTCAGGGCCGGGGATATAGCTCTGGCACAGAGCCTTGCCTGGTAAGCGAGAGGTCCTGAGTTCAATTCCTGCTACCAAAATAAAAACTTACATTCATCTTATATAACATTTTTTAAAAAAGTGTTAGAAATGGCAAAGTGTACAATTTTTTCATATTTTACACTCTAAAAATATAATCCTATCATGCAAAATAAAGATTTCCAGGTGTCATATGACCACCTATGTCATATACCAAGTGTTAACCAAACATCCTCATGTCAGACATGGAAAAAGCTACAACAGTTAAATGTCTCATAACCAAGTATCTCAAGAAATCCCTAAATTATGGTTAATGTTTAAAACAGATATATTGCTATTTTTCCTTTAAAAGCAAGTATAACTAAAGGCCAGCACTTTAGGTCAGTTTTAAGTTGGTAACAGACTGAACTCTAGAGAGATGAAAATGAAATGTGCCAAGTTTTTTCTGGTCTTTTTTTCGGTACAGTTAATCTGCTCGATTTAAGAAAATGTGATACACTGCAAGTACAATGCAATGAAGACTTACACACAAAATCTTTCCACAAATGCTCCCAACGTAATTTAACCCTATAGGTAAGTCAGTGCATAACTACACAAGTCTCTTTACCAGTCAAACATCTGAACGACAAATTACACTGTACTCTTACTTTCTTTACTACTCACTAGAAGCCTTCTGAAACCAAAATCAAGATGTACTCAGCACAACGTAGCCAGAATCCATTCTAAGCAAGGCAACCATTTCAGGCTGCTAAATCTAAAATGTCGCAGAATTCAATGTAAACATGCACACACATTTACGTCGCTGGCCGCAAGCCCCAGAATCTTAGCAATTCCTTTGCTAACTTGGCATATAATCCTCACTCAAAGCCTCTTGGGTGAGTTAAATCCCATACCCTTGCAGCAGGTCAATCGCAACGGCACATGTGCCAGGAGTATTAGTGGTTTTCCTTACGCTCCCATTTTAAACGGGAACCTACTTGCCATTAAATCTGCAAACAACAAAAAAGTTCACCTGAGGGCATTCCAGCCGGCTTCCTAGAGGCCCAGCTTTCCCACCTGTCCGTGGTCTTGTCCCGGCTCTAACAGCACACCTCCGAAGGGGCTGCGCGCGCCCCCAGCACCGGCAAACCAGACCCGCGGCCAAGTCCGCCTGTCACCCCCACCCGCCCCGCAAGAATGCAACCTGCCCCGTGCAGGTTTATGGGGTGGTGTGTGTGCGCGCGCGCGCGTGCGGGGGGCGAAGATGAGGATGCGGATTGGAGAAGAAAAGTGTCTGAACACTTCTAACTTGTTAACGGAAGCTCCTTCACCGGGAAAAACAAAACAAAGCACAAACAAATCGCTCCCTCCCTTCTCCCACCTCCCCAGCGCGGGAAAGTCCGAGCGCCCGGTGCGCACCTTCGGGCTGCGGCCGCCCGGGCGAGCGCCGCGCCGCA